ACAGCCAGAGTCAAGTGCGGAAAGGGGAACAAACTTCTTTCTCATACAGAGAAAGTGAAACGTCCCTTCCCTGACCGGGCAAACCACCGTGCCTGCAAAGACATCCTCCCACCCTGCTCCTCTTCCTCCCTGTTCCCAGGGAAGAGCTTCCAGCAAACTGAGCTGCTGCTCACTCTGGTCTGTCTTGACCTCCTGCACCGAGGTAAGTCACCCCAGCTCTGTGTGTTGGAGATTTGGATCCCATTTTCCTGTTTTCCCCTCCCTGTCATGTCTCTTTGCATCCTTTCTTCCCTTGTGTTCTCTGTCCCATGGAACCACGGCCCTGTACATCACTGCTTCTCCCTCAAAACTGGAATAAACATCCTCTACACGCATCTCAGGAGCCATGACCCATCCCCAGGACGTGCAGCCATCCTCTACATCCTGGGTTTTTTGCTGTCATCTACATCTTGGGCTTTCTAATCCCACAGTCCTGCCATGGGCATGTCAGAGATTTTCATTGACTTCTGTTATTTCTGATCACACAAGGAAACACCTCCAAAACCCTTCTAGGAAGCTGTTTCCACCACTGCATGTGGTGTCTGGTGAATTGTATCGAACAAGTGCTGAGCAGTTGCATGTCTGTGTCCAAGTTCTGTGCATTTGCCTCCATCCCCAGTTCCCCACCCTTTTGCTTGTAGGAGGCAGGATGCAACCCGAATTTTGGCTGGGGATCAGCACCCTGGCAGCAGTGCTGAGCACAGCCCTGCTGGAGAATGGAGTCTGTCGGGCACCAGATGGCAAGGATGGCTTCCCTGGAGTCCCTGGCCGTGATGGGAGGCCAGGGCAGAAGGGTGACATGGGAGAGCCAGGTAAGGGGAAGCCTGAGATGCCAAGTGTGGGGAGCCTGGGAACCTCTTGATAGGGGCACCCCAGGCTGTGGGAGCAGCTTGGGAGATGCTGGATGTGCACCAACTGCTCCTCTTCACCACCTCTCCCCAGGGAAACCAGCGCCAAGGACGGGCATCCAGGGACCCAAAGGGGATGCAGGTGAACCCGGCCCTCCTGGCATTCCAGGGAACCGCGGCCTCCCTGGCCTCCCTGGTGTCATTGGGATGCCAGGGCTGCCAGGGCTCAAGGGGGAGAAGGGGGTACCCGGTAATACCCTGGAGCAGCCACGCCCTGCCTTCTCTGCCTCGCGGAGGTCCCCGCCATCCATGGGCAGGACGGTGGTGTTTGACAACATCATCACCAACGAGGAGAACTCCTACAGCCCCCAGACGGGGCAGTTCACCTGCCGCATCCCCGGGCTCTACTACTTCGCCTACCAGGTGGTCTCCAGCGGGGACCTGTGCCTGAGCATCACCAAGAACAGGGAGAACGTCGTCAGCTTCTGCGACAACAACAGTGTCGGCATCCTGCAGGTGAACTCGGGCAGCAGCGTCCTCAGCCTGGCCCCGGGCGACCAGGTGTCCGTGACCACCAACCCCGTCCTGGGCAGCTCAATCTACAGCGGCTCCGAGGCAGACAGCGTCTTCAGCGGCTTCATGCTCTTCCCACAGACAGGCTGAGGGGCCCCCAGGGCATCCCGGGGTGTCTGTCTGCGTGGGTGATCCCCCGGTGGGTGTGGGATGGTTTAGTGCCACAGCACGCCGGGATGGCCCCAAACTGAGCGTGCAGATGGGTCCTGTGCTTCCACCAGTGTCACAACTGGCCAGGCCGTGGGTCCCCAGCGCAGCAGTCACCTCTGTGCTGAGCCTGCCCACTCCATCCTGGAGGCAGTGGACTCTCATCCCTTTCTCCACCTGGGCATTCATACCTCACTCCAGTGGGTCCCAGTTGTCACTGGCTGTGGCTCTTTGCTCCTGGGTGGGAAATCGCTGCCTGCCACTGCTTCTGCTACACTAACCACTGTAAATGCCTTCCTGGCACTGGCACACATTCTCTCACATCCTCCCCATCAGTATAAATAAACCCTTCTTTCACCATATCTCTTTGAGTTTTCTACTCATGCAATCTTCCCCAAACCATGAATATCCTGGATCCCTCCCCAAGCTGTCCAGGGAGAGAAGCGATCCCAGCTTGTCCCTGGCACTGCAGAGGGAGAAGGACAGGAGGGAATGGAGTGTCCAGTCAGAGCTGACACAGGGAGGAATGCTGGGATTAGGCTGTGTGTGTCCTCTGCTGAGCCCAAGGCAGCTGTCCTGCAAGGGAAAACACAGGCAGCAGGTCGTGCACCTCACCAACGTGGCCCCTGTTAGTACCCAGACTCTCCTAGGAAGAGGAAAGGCAGCTGTGGTCCTCTGGCCTTACAGCAGGGAGGGACACGGATATCAGGGTGACTGATGGCGTTGTGGGGTGTTGGTGGTGGAGTTGTGAGGGCCTTGGGGTGAGATGAGTGGGAGGTACAATAAGCTGGGCACGAATCAGACAGCTGGGAAGCATCAGGGAAGACACATAGGTGCCATACCCTGGGTCTGCTCCTCAGGGGAGCTACTGCACACACACTGGGCACTCAAATGTCTCCGTTCCTGGAGCTGTGAGGAGGAGGCCAGGTCACTGAGTGGAGCAACACCCTGACGAGGGATGCTGGGGCCTCACAAAGTCCAGCACCCAGCAGAACTGGTGGAGCACAGTGGAAGGTGCAGGTCTCTCAAGGAGAAACACCCTCCAGTCCCATTTAGGGGTACAGCATCTTCCATCAGAGATGGTGAAGAGGAGCAGTTGGTGCACATCCATCAGAGCCCGGCAGCGACCTCGCACCAGCCCTTCAGTGTCACAGGCATCTCTAGCCCAACAGAGTTGGCCTGAGGCTCTGCTCTCCACGCTGCCCTTTTGCTCAGAAAGAAGTGAAAGGGAAACCAGGAGATTTCGGGGGGGGGGGCTAGTCCCCATGGAGGCTTCTGAGGGTGGTGGCACATCTTTTGGCAGAGCTTTGTCCTACTTCTGTCCTTCCAGCCCTTCCTGTTGCAGTGGCACGAGTGCAGGTCTCACTAGACAGCCAAGAAAGTGCTCACTCAGCAGAAACAACCAGGCAGAAGGATGTGAAACTCTGCTGGGGACAGCTGGGGATTCTGGGTCCCCAAGGGCCTTTCCCAAATCTGCAGCTTCCTCCGTGGGGGTGACAGGGTCTGTCACTGCGCAGTGACTGCCGCGGCCAGAGGGACCAGCAGCACAGGGTCCTGTCCCCTGCTCCCACCAGAGGTAAGAGGTGCTGCAGGGTCCCTGTGTCCAGGGTGGGCTGCAGGGGGCCTGGGGGTCCAGCAGTGGGGCCCAGTGCTGTGAGGAGGATGTGGATGTGAGAAGAGGAGGAGGAGGAGGAGGAGGGGAAGGAGACAGGCACCGCTGGGCTGCACACATGTCATGGATGCACCAGCAGATGGAGGTAATCAACCCGAGGGACAGAGCCAAGACAGTGAGGCTGCTGCTGGAGGGGGAGTGAGATCAGCTGGGTCCAGGGAGCTCCAGCACAGTGTGGCAGTCCACAGTGGTGTGTGCATCACCAGGGGCTTGGACACTGGACTGGGAGGACTTGGAGCTGGCTGTGGGTACCACAGACCTCATGGCTTCATCCAGACTGAAAGTCCAGCCCAACTTGTGCCATCAGTGACTGCCCTGGGGTTGGTGATGAGCACAGGGCCCATCTCCACATATCCACCTCCCCACTGCCTGGCAGTTGGTAGGGGTGGGACACTGAGGGCACACTCATGGGACCCAGGAGCTCCTGATGCAGCCAGCCTCCTTTTCTCCATGCCCTGGAAGCCACCCTGCCATGGCCCCTCACTCCAGCATTTCTTTCCCTTTGCATGCTACAGAACCAAAATGGAGCAGAGATTCTGGGAGCAGCTCAGTCTGGCCCTCACCCTCCTCCTCCTGAATGTGGGCTCTGCTGTGAATGAAGATGTCCCTCTCAACTCCTATGGAGTTCCAGGCCTGCCAGGAATGCCGGGTATGCCAGGCAAGGATGGCAAGGATGGACTGAAGGGAGCCAAAGGGGAGCCAGGTGAGTGAGAAACGAGGGAAACCACAGGGCTGTTGCAGTGGGGAGCATTGAGGCCTCCATGGCTGGTCTGCCTTGGTTTGCAGGCTGGGGAGAGCACCCTCTGTGGTCAGGCTGGAAAGAGGCAACAGCACTCTCCTGCCCAAGGGAAGGGGCTGGAGAAGAAGCCTCTCCCCACATCCTGCTATTGACACCGACTCCCTTTCACTCTCCATCACCCCACAGGTATCCCAGCTCCTCCTGCAATGCAAGGGCCCAAGGGCATGAAAGGGGAACCGGGCAGCCCTGGCTTGCCAGGCAAGAAGGGTCCCAGTGGCCTTCCTGGTCCTGCTGGAGACCCTGGGGTGATGGGCCCGCCTGGAGAGCCAGGAATGCCAGGCAGCTACAAGCAGAAGCACCAGTCAGCGTTCTCAGTGACGAGGCAGACCAAGGAGCACCCCTTGAAGAACGTCCCTGTGATTTTCAACCACGTCATCACCAACACCAACCACGACTACAACACCACCACGGGCAAGTTCACCTGCAAACTCCCCGGGCTCTACTACTTCGTCTTCCACACCTCGCAGACAGCCAACCTCTGCACCATCCTGCACAAGAACCAGAGGAGGATGGCCAGCTTCTGTGACCACAAGACCAACACCATGCAGGTCAGCTCGGGGGGGCTCCTGCTCCACCTGGCTGCTGAGGACCAGGTCTGGCTGGGAGTGAATGACTACAACGGCATGGTGGGCATCGCCAACTCTGACAGCATCTTCTCAGGGTTCCTGCTCTTCCCAGACTAGAGGGTCACCAGAGCCCACCCCAGCACCCTGACTGCTTCATCCTGCCCCAAACACACTGCTCACTGCCAGGCTGCTGCTGACACTCCCAGTTTCTCTGCTGAGTGGGAAGCCCCAATGAGGGCATCACCCCCCAGACACAATCCCTCAGTGTGGGGACTGAGCATTGGCAGCTGCTGAACAGGGGGAACAGGCACATCTGGATGCATCTGCACCCAGAGTGATGGTGCTGAGCCCCCTGTCCCACTGGCACTGCCTTATAACCCCACCCAATAACCCGACATTACCTCAGGGGTCTCTCTTCCTCTCTCCCCTCCCCACCTTGGTTGCCCCAGGTTCAGCCAGGTGTCCCGGGGCTGCAGCAGCCCCTTTGCCATGACCTGGCTGTGGAAAGTGTCAATAAATCCTTCCCCAGTGCACCTGGTATAGTGTGTTGAGTCCTCCATGACTTACCTTTCTGCAGGTGGAGCCTGATGGATATGGTGACGGATGTGTGTGTGACATCTGGACATCTGTGTGGCATCAGCGAGTCCCTGAGCCCTTGCTGTGCTCAGCATCAGTGACATCACACACCATCCACACCCTGGCTCGGGGTGGGGTGAGGGTATGACCCCTGGCTGCACTGCCTGCAAGAACAGGATGGTTCCTCTGCCCCCAGGCAGGCCCCACCAAGGGAGGACCAAGACTCCAAGTAGGGCCCCTGCTCCTCCCCTTCCCCATCAAAGTGGAAGCAATCCAGCTGCAGATGGGCACAGACCACGCAGCAAACCCCACTGACACGCCACTGAGGGGGGGATATCCCTGGGGTCCCAGCCCTGCCAGGGACAGAGCTCTGCTTCCCTGACCCAGACCAAAGGAGTTCATGGCTGTGCAGGCTGCAGGGCCCACCAAAACTCAATGGGGACTCCTCCTGGTGGCACACACTGTAGGGTGGAACAGGTCATATCCCAATGTCCTGCGCTTCACCTTCGCAAGGCAGCAGGGGAAAGCAGGCCTGGGAATGCTTTTCCCGCAGGGTAAAATCACTTCCCACACACAACATTTAGGAGAGCCTGGGGCACATATTCAGGATGATGGATGCCAAGGCCCTGCAGCATCCCCTGGGTCTGCCAGAACCTCCCAGCAGAGCTGGGAAGGTGGGGAGCAGCCTGAGGGAGGTTGGCTGAACGCACGCACAACTCTGCGGCACCGATGGGTTACCCCAAACCTGTCTGGAGCTCAGGTCAGTGTTCTTCTGAGCGGCGGGGGGGCATCTGAGCAGGACCCAGGGACCCTGCAGGACAGAGCTGTACCCTGGGGGGGCCTGGGGTGCTGTTTGGGGGTGGCTTGTTCTGCTGAGCTGGCAGAGAGCATTCGTGGAGGATGTGAAACTGCCACGGACAAAAGGGCAGGAGCTACAGATAAAGAAACGGGATGTGTCCCAGATCCTTTCACAATAACTCCTGCAGCCAACTTCTGCTTCTCCTCACAGGCATTTCCAAGCAGGACGCTGGTGTGTCCCACTCCATCTCCCCACCCAAGCAACAAGGAGCTCAAGGTAAGAGCAAGGCTGAGCCCCAGCCCCCCACACAGGCAGGAGCACGTGGAACATGGTCCCAGGAGGGTGACAGTCACCTGCACCCCTGGCACTTCCCTGTGGCTTGGGGCAGTAGAGAAAAGGGGTGGTGGGTAAGCTGGGTGGGGATGCTGGAGATTTCTGGTGGGACCCCAACCTCTCCTGCTCCACCTGGGAGAAAGGAGAACATGAAAGGGGAGATTGCAAAGTCCCAGAAGGGTGATCAGGGACTGGGCATCAGTCTGAAAGGTGCCCTGGGTGTGGTCTCCTGCTCTTAGATGCTCTGGTCATGTGATAGACCTGGGCTAGGAGCCTGTGAATTCATCCTGTCACATCCAAATTGGACCTGCTGTGGCCGGAGAATCCAACTCACCAACCTCTTGTCCTGCTAGCACCAGAGTTTCAGTGCTGGGAAAGTCCACCTGAGGCCGGAGGGCATGGCTGGGGTGATGTGATGTCCAGATACAGCCCCCAAATGCCAGGTGCTTATCCACAGGCATCCACACCAGGACCTGGGGGAAGGAGCTGAGTTGTGGGATGCAGGGAGGGCAGAAGGAATGTGAGACCTCAGGGACTGGAAACCCAAATGACTGTACAGAAATGCCTCTGGGATGGAGCAGGCATGTGGCAGGACACAAGGGGAAGCTGCAGGGTGC